TCAGTTCCGCTGCTCGAGTAGGCCAAGTCATCTGTTTGTTTGAATAGTCGTAATGGACGGTTAAACTTTTGGTCACTTGTCTCGTTACGATAAGTTTTGAACTGTTGTCCGATTCGTCCCACAGTCTACCGCCTTCATGGGTTTGTCAGGCAATTGCTGTTCCTCATAGGCTGGGTAATAAACCTAGAGTAAATAGGTTTCATTGCGCTTGACACTGTATTCTACGAAATCAGAAACTTAGCAGGTTTTCAGCTACCTTGCCGCCCATCATAGTGGACTAAAAACGCAGAATTTGCGGATCCCTTAGAGGAATGGGCGGAAAGCACGATAAGACATGTGGTTGGCGCACACTCCAAGGTTGAATGATTTCTTCTGAGAGTGCACTTGGATGGAAAGTAGTCCAGTTATTCAAGGCTTTGAATGTAGGCTGTGGACTTACAGAGGTGGTTCAATTCGAATGTTAATCCGTTTGGAAGCATCCACTGAATAGTTTGATTTTTGAATTTGGATTTAGAGAGAGTAGAATACTAGCCAAAACGATTTGGCACGGACTGAGTCTTGGAGATGACTAATCCAACGTTTAATCGAATTCTGTTTCATCAGAGAAGGAGAAGAAATCGTTTCTGTCAACTATGAATTGCACACAACACCGGTCGAGTCCGGAGTTGCATCTACGAATTCGATGTACAAGCCAAACTATGGTTTTTGCGAGAAATCTTGTGAATACATTCAAGATTCACTTACCCGGATAGAATGGGCCTCATGTCAACGTAAAACTCTCGAGGATCAAGTTGTTCTGCCCGAGGGGAAACGGAGAGAAAATAGTTTTCAATAATGAAAGAAAGCTGATAAAAATGTGCTTTTATTCTCAGTCTTCGGATGAGTATATAATAGAAGGTATGGAGGACAAAAAACGGAGCGGGAGGTTAATAAACCAACCAATCAACCAATCACTTAAACGGCTGGGATGTGCAGTTTAGTGGAACGACGCGTTTTTATGATTGATTGTGTGTGTCTGACGTCCAACTAAATATCCTGTCCTCGACTTCGATACAAAGGTGAAGCATCACTCATGTTTTTTCGTAACCAATCCATTATTAGTAGTTATGGTGTAATGTTCACTATAATAAACATTTAGTAGGTAACAAATAGACTATTCTAGGTCACTGTGCATCCAAGAGACTTTTGAATGTGTTTCCACTCACTTCGCCTCACAACCCTGAAGAATACCGTAAGATGATTTTTGAGTCACCAGATGATGAGTTTTCTCTCTTACCTCCAATCTTTCCGGTACACCCATTCAGTTTTGTGGTCATGAAATTTTCGAGCTCCTTTCACGTGCTCCTTCCACACTCCCCAAAGCTTCCAACTCGAATTGGGATAGGGAGTGAAACTCGAACCCAAGACCATCAGTCTAGATTCTAGGGGATGACATGGCCCAGTGGTTAGTGAGCGAATTTGCTGACCGGAAGGTCCGTGGTTCGAACCCGACCTCTGCATCTCGACTTCCTCTGTCTAGGCTTGGGCAACCTGGCAGTATCCCAGCCCTAATGCTTCCTTCTGGTGGCATGGCAGTTAGACTCCGAAAGGGTGTCACATCTGAACGATTATTTTTATTATCTTATAGTCTAGTTTTCAGCGACTTATACGTCAGTCTCAGCTAAAACGCAAAGTAGTAGTATTGCAGATACGCTGTTCCGTTGCTCAGAACGTGGATAGTTTTGTTTGTTGTTCGGTCGCTCTGTATCCCATTCCCACTCAACGAATTTATTCATCTAGCTACATTTCTGTGACTAGGAGGTCAGCAAGCAAATAGGCAACAAACATCCTGGTGACAACTAGAACCGAAGTGCGGCATATACACACGGCCCACAAGTGGCGGGCCGTGATATTTCAGTCACGGGTATTCATCCTTCCATGATTGGCTTGCATTGCGGCCGTGTCTGGTGATATTAACACAAGATGTAACGCTCGAGGAGAAATTTCTTCACAGGTTAGGACCGCAGAAAATAGGATAATATTAAAGTTTCAGCTCAGCTCGAATAATCCAGTGGTCAAAATATCGAACCTCCTATTCGATGGCCCGCATTCAAGTCCCATCATGGACACCTTCAATTGGCCTGCCGGCGCCCACTGTGTTTCTGTAGGTTTCCGTTAGTTCAAACTTCACACAGACCCGGGCTAGGACATCCTCTAGGGAGTAGTTTGATCATGACACGTGATTCAAACAGCATGAAATTTATTTCCCTTTACTTTAAGTTACTGACACCAACTGAACTGAACTGAACTGAACTGAACTGAACTG